GTGTAGATAGCTATAGAAAGTAAGACATATATATCTTCATGAAAAATCATAGTGAGTGACCAACTATAATCATCCTAATTTAAGCATAAATAATTTTTATTTTAGTTACTAATTTGATACATATAACTACGGAATAAATCTCAAACAAAAAATAAGAACTGAGATTGTATTATTCTGTAGGTAAATAAATAAATATTATTAGAGCTCCTCTTTATATTAAATTTAAAAGTAATAATTTAAATATTAGTTCATGTGAGAAAGTAAAGTAATTTATGGTCTATATACATATATTCAATCAATTAAACAATTATGATAACCACAATCAAAATTATATGGTGAGTTCATATTAAATATAATTTATAAAAAATAAAACATTAAAGTCAAAATCCTTTTAACCACTATATAGATTATCTGAATTTTTTTTATATATAAACTATACTACCTAGGAATAGTGATGTGTACACTAAATTATAGCCTAATAATCTTAAGAACGACTTACTCTTGAATATCATTATTAAATAATGTATCGATGCATTACACTAAAAACACGATAACAATTTAGAGAACTACAAAAGAAACACCCTAAAAAGTTTTAAAAATTATAAGAAACACCCTAAAATTTTATAATTTACTGATATGCAAACTTATTAAACATTACATTAAAATAAAGGGATTATGAAAAATCATTGAAATTTTTTAAACTTTAGAGGGGTATTTGTAATGTACTAAACTTTAAGGATGTTTTTTTGTAAATTTTAAACTTAATAGATTTTCAATTAGTTATGTTCTTTTCAAAAAAATTATTGGTAATATTGACCATGAAAAGTTTTTTCCTAAACTTATACTTTTAAAGGGAGTATGATATTTTTTGTAAAATTTTAATTTTCTAAAGGTTGTTAGTAATTTTGTATATTTATTTTAGGGCTAAATACCCATATTGGTATTTTAATTCCACCCCATTTACCAAGAAGATATTTTAATTAGGCAAATCTGTTTTAAGGCATTTTAATTGATTCAACTTACCAACAAGGCCCTTTTTCTCATTGGCGACCAGTTTTCCGGCGAGAGCTCGTCACGTGCGTGGCACGTGATGACTTAAACTGTTTTTTAGCTGCTGATATGACACGGATCTGTCCTATTTTGGGTGAATTGGGATTTTTAGAGGGTTAATTCCCACCTTTAAACACTGCCATGTCAGAAAATCCGTGCGACATCAGCAATTAAAAAACAGTTTAAGTCATCACGTGTCATACACGTGACGAGCTCTCGCCAGAAAACTGGTCGCCGACGAGAAAAATAGCCTTATTGGTAAGTTGAATCAATTAAAATACCTTAAACCAGGTTTGCCTAATTAAAATACCTTCTTGATAAATATGGTGGAATTAAAATACCAATATGGGTATTTAGCCTTTATTTTAGTGTCTATAGGTTAGAAATTCTTATATATGGTGTTTTTTGTAAATTATAAATTTTAGAATTTTTTTATAATTTTTTAAACTTATACACCTTTTATACAGATTGTAAATTATTTATAGACTATTTATAATTCCCATGTTTTTAATTTACTAATAAGTTTAAAATTATCATGGTGTTTTTTATAAAATTTGAACTTTGAGGGTTTGTTTGTAATTTTTAAAACTTTAAGGTTGTTTTCTTAAATTATAAATTATGTAAGGGATATTTGTAATTTATATATTTTTAATTTACTGTTAGGTTGGAAATTATCATGATATTTATAAATTTTATAATTTTGAGGGTTTTATTTTATAATTTGTAAAAAGTTCAGAGTGTAACTTACAGGATATTTTTTTACAAAGTCCCAAACTTTTAGGTGCTGGCTAGAATATGTTTTTTAGATCTCTGTGAACTGAAAATAAGTAAATGATTTTAATTATATCAAACATATCTCATTTATCCAATAACATGTTAAGTCTCATTATGAATAGGATAAATCACTTAATTACCAATTCAAATAAGATAAGATAATTCGAATAGATTATGATAACAATGTAATATTTAAAAAAAAAGTTAAAAGTAATATTGACTATGGAAAGATTTTTCCGAACTCGTACTTTTAAAGGGAGTATGATTGTGAAACTCAGAACTATTTTGAACAAAGTGAAAAAGAGAAGATAAGGGGAAAAGGAACATCCAGAAAATAAAAACCCTTCTCCTTTTATTTAAATGTTTTTCTAGTATTAGTCCTTTAAATTATACATTTTGACATTAGTCCCTCAGATCATAACAATTGTTATTAGGTTCCTCAATCTTAAGCTATTTTGTAATAACCTACGAGACATGTGTGACCTTATAAAGGTTTAGATGATTTGAGGGAAAACTTCTCTCTAGTTGAAACATTGACCCTTGATTAAGGGGACTAATTTAAAGCAAACTTAAGAATTGGGAGACCTTTAAATTTCAAAGCACCTTACGAATTGAGGGACCACCTCGGAGCAATTTCCACGACGTGAGGGAGTAATTCAAAATATGGAAGATATAAGCAAGTAATATCGGAAAACTCCTTATTAAAAAGGGGAAGACCACAAAAGTGCCCTTCTTAAAGCAAATTGTTATTACTTTTCCAAATCTTAAAAAATAAATAAATAAAAGAAAAAAGAAGGATGAGTACCTGTCGAGCTCTCAGTAAGCACAAATGTCATTTCCAAAAGTCTAAAGTCATTATGCATAAAGTTTACGTGTCAACTATTGGCATGGGGCCACCCACTTAATTTAAAGTGGAAAAGTTGTTAGTTATCAACGACGTAATTTAAGAATAAAACTCGTAATAAAAGTAAAAAAATGGGGAGAAGAGAAGGTAAATAAATGAGTGGGGCGGGGGGCTATTGGGTGCTGAGTAGGACTGAAGGACTCACGGGTTTATTTGGTTTGTTTAATATATATATATCTTTTTTTTTTCAAAAAAAAAAAAAAAAAAGTAAAACAAAGGAATTAGTACTAGAAAATGGGTGGGGGGAGAGAGAGAGGGAGGGAGAGGGGCAGTAGGTTAATTAGATATCCACGAGGCGAGAGTTTAGAGGGGAAAGAATCAAATAACGGCCCCTGAAGGCCACAAAGACAACTTGTGGCTCAGAATCCCCTCCCCCCTGCTGACGTGGCCCCTACCCTTTTCCCCCCTTCCTCTTCTTCTTCTTCTTTAATCTCCTCCTTTTCTCCCCCTTTCTTTGTTAATAAACAGAGGCAACAGCAGCAGCAGCAGCAGCAACAACAACAAGAGAAAGAAAGAAAGAAAGGAGACAAGAACAGAACAAAGAAGAAGGAAGGGAAGCAGAGAGAGAGAGAGATAGAACAGAACAAAGTAGAAGAAAGCGAAGCAGAGAGAGAGAGAGAGAGAGAGAGATAGAGATCGAGGACTCCGACCATCTCGCGCTTTATTTAGATATCCCGGGAGAAAAAGAAAAGAAAAGAAAAGAGGGAGATGTCGTCTTCGGATCCTGCAATCAAGCTGTTCGGGAAGACTATTATTGCTCTGCCTTTACCCACCCAAGACGACGGCGGCGGCGGTGGTCATGACGACGAGGTAATTATTCCATTTATTTTATTTTTCGTGTTATTTTGTAGGACTGGTTTATTTTTTCCGTTGGGTTTCTGGTTTGAGCTTGAAAGTTGGAAGCTTTGATGAGTCTTAGGATTAATTAATTCCCTGATGGTTGGAATACTTCGCCCTATTTTTAAGAGCAATAAATAAAGCTTTGAAATAAATTTTACGGGCTCTGATTAATTAATTTATACATAGTTGATTGGATATAAGAGGTTATTCTTCACGAAGTTAGTCCACCTCTTTCCTGAAAGCACAGTGTTCCCTGTTTTTTAGGATTATTATGTCATGTAATGTAATTGAAAGGATGTAAACGGTAATTATATGATATGCCAAGTGTTTTTTTTTTTTATACTTCTTTCAGAAAATATATTACTTTATTTTTAATTTAGATCATTTATGTTTCTCTTTATTACCAAGTGAAGTGATGCTGTGGAACCTTTCCAGTTACAAATATACAATATGAGATTTGTGTTTGATTTCTTTTATCTACTATTTATTTGTTTATTTTTTTAAAATATGAGAATAATTGATCGATGTTTAGTTTTCCCTGGCTAAGGGTTGAAATTTTTCTGGTAATCATCATCCGTCGGTTGCGTTTACTTGAAAAAGTTAGGTGAAATCGATTTACTAGAAGGTTCTGATGTCAGAAATCAAAAGGTAGAAGGTTTTCTTATCAATAACTGCTTATTAATTTACTCTAATGACCTAATATATAATTATTAAATAAGCTACAGCTTAGGTGAAAGAGAGTTATTAGTCGTTACAGGGGGCTTGTATGTTTCAGCTTTTCCTACAGGACAGCTGGGATCAGTGTTTATAGTGGTGGTATTTACAGTAATATGGACGTTTGTGCTTTGAATTAATTTCAGGGCTTTCCCAGTGAAGGGACTGCAACCAGCACTAGTCATGAGATCATCATCATGAAGGAAAAGGGAGAAGACACACGCCCGGCTTCAGATGAACAAGGTATTGATGCTCCTACAACAACTCCAGTAGACCACGAGGCTCCCAAAAGATCACACTCCTCCTCCGACGACGAGGAGGAGGACGACGACGAGGACGACGACGACGATCAAGCAGGCAAGGGCCCAAAGAGTAGCCAAGGAAATAATAAACACAGTGATTCATCAGGCAGCAATGCTCAAGAGAAACCCCCGTTAAAGAAGCCAGACAAGATCCTGCCCTGCCCTCGGTGCAACAGCATGGACACAAAATTCTGCTACTACAACAACTATAATGTCAACCAG